ATAAAATATGGAATGCTTTGAAGTTGAGGACTGGAGTCGGTTGTAGTTATTATCAAGTGATTAATATCGAAAAAAAAACACATTGTAGATGATATAAAAATCAATTCACCTGCTATATCCTTAAAAATAAATACTCAACGAAGCCTACTCCACTCTACTTTCTACTTCTCTGAAGTAAACACTTACAATCAATATATTCATGGTCAACCAACATGCCTGCTGCACATGCACATCGCTGCGTTGATATACAGCTCAAGGATACTCACTGTTGTCAACAGTACTGACCCCTGCCCCTTTCAGGTACATACATGTTGTCCGGTTTGGTCTGCAGACAAGTCGGACATCCAAAAAGCACGCACACGAGCAGTGGCCCCTGCACGGGCACTTATGAATCAATGTCCGATGGTTAGGCGTCCGCCTACAATACCGAAGGTCCTGGGTTCGAATCCTGCGGGGTGCAGTAGTCGTGGATGCGCACTGCTGAAGAGTCCCATACCAGGACTTGACGGCCGTCCAGTGCTTCCAGGTTTCTAATGGTGGTCTAACATTGATCGATTCATGGTTTCAAAAACACTTACAATCAATTTTTAAATCAAATCAAGATGCTTTTATGTCTTGTAGTAAAAACAATTCTGTTCAAGAAGACAGAATATTTCCGAATCCAGTCAAATTGAAATTTAGTTTAACAATCATCCAGTCTTATTAGCTATATCAATCATACTCCTAATATAATTGAATTCCACTGGTTATAGGTTGTCACTATGACTAGGAATCCTTCTTAAGGCTTGTCATAAGTGAGTATATGATTTAACTACGTTTTATATTTATTTACTTGTTTATTAGATAATAATTAATTATGTTATACAATCTTCGTGAATGAGATTTTTAAAAAAAACTAAACTGTAAGCTGTACATTACAGGCTATCTGATTGTACATTATATTACTCTCTAGTTAGTATTTTGGATGGTTTAGTATGATAGACAAGTCAATTTTGAATATGAATCTTGAATCATAATTTATTTCCAAACTATTAACACATTGAAATAAAGGCAAGTTGATTAGCATGAGGTCATACTTCTATAAGTTATATATATATATATATATATATATATCATCACTAAGTATTGTGAAAGGATCACTCATAAATACTTTTTGCATATTAAGTGACTATTTGTTACATTTTAGAATTATCGATTGGTTGTCTATACTTTTCATACGTTTAAATCTAAATGAATTTACGTTTTAGATCATTATTACCTGTTGAAATGCAAGTTTAGTTCAGTTGAATTACTAGAATTGAATAGAAATGACTTTAAATTTAAGAACAATTAAATCTTTCAGATTTACATCATAAACTTTATAACTAACTGCTTAATCAAGATTAAAAGTACATAGTTGATTGTCAAAATGTTTCATTGAATATGTTACATTCAACATAATTTTAATGATATTTTGAAACGCAAATGCTTTTTTCAGGTAGTTTATTTCATAGATAATAATTCAGTTCTTAATTAACAGTTAGATAAATTTATTTCCCACCTTCATAAGAAATCCATTTAATAGTTACTAATGGATATATATATATACCAAAGATGTCATTTTAGTAAATCGGTATTGTCGAACTTAGTATTTTATACCAATCAATGAAAATTAAATAAAACTTTGGAGAATATGATCCTATTAATATCTAACGAAATTTTCGAAAATTTTTCATAAAAGTCTTCACAATAAATGATGAGATGCTTACCAGTAATTTTCATTACAGGGAGTACGTTCGTGAAGTATACAGACATGTTTGTTTCACCAGTGTACTCAAATTCTAGAATAAATTAAAATATTTCCTGTACTGGAGGAAGTGGACTTACTACAAAATCCACTTGATCATTCAATCCTGGAATTTTATTAAAGTGACATAAATAGAGTGATCCCTCTTGTTCTAATCTCAGAAAATAATCTGAACAGAAAATTTCGCTGTAGGTTTGAAATGTGTTCATAATGCTCTATAAATAAGTGTTTTCTCATAAGTATGTTATTAAAGGATTAATCTTATAAAAATTTATCAGCAAAATGTATCACCGTATCTGTGAGCCTCTGATTCTCAGCAGGATATTGCTACTTTCCTCATTGAAATTTCGTTAGCACAATAATTTAAAGGAATTCAGTGTCTAATTCTGATGTTTATTTCCTTGGTGTTTACTGAATTAATCATAGACTGTAAGGCTTCCAATATATTTTATGTTTCGTGACGAACTACTGAGACATTTTTAAGTAATATATATTACTTAAACAAAACTAATTGTATCGTTAAATTATCAAGTCTTATGTTATTTCTATGAGTGAGTGATTTGTAACAGTTAGGAAATTATTTTGCATTTAAAACTGAATCAACCATGGGTTGATATCGGCAAGCTCTAGAATCCAGAACGCACGTTTCGCCCTATTTGGGACTTATCAGATGGATGTACCTGCATCCTAAAGTTGATGTTCACTCCAAGAATCGAAACCAGTACCTTATGCTTCAAATGGTATCGTGTTATCGCGTTATCAATAGCTCCTACACTAAATTAAATTTTTCACCGATCACTGTCTGTATTTTTCAAATTGAAAATCAAAATATGATTGTTTTTCTCAATGTCTGGATGATACAGTTATGAAATTACTACAAAAACAATGAGAAATTGTCGATTAAGGTGTCCAAGTGTATGTACTAATGGTCTAAGACATTTATGTCTTCATCAAATGGTAGAAAAACAATAACTTATAAGTCACATGAGAAGTGGGTTGAATTTATGGATTACATACATAAGTGTGCATCTGCGTGAAATCATCTAATTTTTAGAGCGCTTTTTGTGGACGGGAGAGGAAGTACGCAAATTTGCGCCTCATTTCCCTTCATATCACACTGGAAGCAATGAGGGTGCAATGTCTAAGTGTATATTCATAGAAAAATTGAATAAAGATCAAATATGAGTAGATTTGACAAACAAAATGTGGCTTATTCACTTTAGATGATAGTTTGCTATAGGCATTGTTCAAGGAAATTCCGTTCAGTGAGTTGATTCATACTTTCTTTAATTTTTTCTTTAGCAATATACATAATCAAAAGAGTTCTCTTTCGAATGTACAAAACACAACTTTTAACCCCAACAAACTTAGGTGCAGTTAAAAATCCCAATGTTTATTTAGATCTAACGTGGGATAAAAATGAGCCTGGTGCAAATGCTTTTTCCCTGTTAGTTCGAATAAAGTTACCTTCCTCATGTTTTTCTTCAGGATACTGACACACATTACTGCTATCTCTTATGAATAGCTTACCATCGTCATTGATATTAAAACCAACTCTTTTAATCTTTATCATGCCAGTTTCCTTTACCTTGGGTGGTTTGAAATAAAGTCACTTCAACCGATAAGTATGTTTATGGGATACTGCGCTTTAGCGATTAACTAGACTTAGGCATGTTTCCAGAGGATATGTAAAACAGCCTTAATGTTATTTTCACAAAGCTGGTGGCGTAAACGAAGATGAATTGCTTGAGATGAGTCTTTCGTAACATTTGTGTACTCTTTTATATAGAGATGTTTTCATTAATTTGTTTGACGTGTATAGGCTCGATAACTGCATGAAACAACAGGGAATGTTATTTTTAAACTCATCATTTTGTTTACAGTAAAAAATCATAAAAACACTCTGAGTACCACAAAAAACACCTTAATAAAACTAAAGTTTGTCGCCTTGGTTATCCAAATCTCCAACCAAACTGTTTGAAACTATGAAAATAAAACAATTAATATTTTGACGAATTTACCTCAGTGTAGTGATCATTATCGACAAACTCGATGGCTACACCGGTTGCATTCACTAGATTTTAAAAATATGAGGCACATATGCATCATGTTACTGGTCAAGATAAAAATCATACTTCTAGTCTATTCAATATCATCATAGCAAGTAGTCGTTGCCAATGGTTTCCATTTTTGGGAGGGCGTTTCTGGCTTTTGAAATCGTCATAAAGTTTGATATACTAAGTAAAAAATAGATTATATATATTGTTAGCCACAAATGCAACACATCAGGCTATGGATGTGATGTAAGTTTTATTGTGTCTAATCGTATGATCTTAAGAATTTAGGGACTATTTTTATCTTGGAAGTTAATCACTAATTACGTATATTTATAAATAGAAGAACGGTGTTAAACTAAAAGCCATGAGCACCACTATTTGACTGGATTACAAATAAGCATTTCTTATGTATATCATAGAGCTTGGAAGAGTCAGGACATATTTCAATGTTCGGTTTAGTCAGATTTCGTTCTTGGATGTGAAATTTAATGCTTGTATTTATACTTTTCTCTGATATGATCGTCATGATAGTACAGTTCAACCAAACATTAAAGTCGTCAGTTACTTTTGAAAAATAAGTCATAACGACAGTACGATGCTTGGTAAAATTTCGTATTTTAACAACAAATTCAGTAGTTTTATTGAGACATAATTTGTAAGGATATCAACTGTAAACTTGACATGAAATACAACAAAATCTCAGTACTTATAATAATAATATTTTATTGTTATGAATAACCAAACAAAAGAGAATGAAGAGTATTGAGGGACTTTTCATTGTGAAACTAGATTATATGATAGACTGATATTCCTGAATTGCACTGTTATCCATAACCTAAACATTAGTGAAGTTATTTCTTGTCAATTAAAAATATAATTGAACAAATCCTTTATCAATAGTGACAGTTGCTGACCACAGTAATTTTTTTTGAATATCGTATCAATACTACTCAATATGAAAATAAGTAGTCACCACTGGACTCAAATTTCATAAAATATAATTTTGATAATGGGAATTTTTTTACCAGATAATTTTTACTGAAACGATATTTACCATTTTATATGAGTTAGCGCTCATGATCAGTCTGTTTTGGAAGCGGTTATAATTATAATTTTTCATCATATTTCACTCTCATTCCTCTGTATTATTTTTTCAGGACCACTACCATCCGATCCAGATCCAAATTTTCCATTTCGTAGACATTTTGAAAAAAGTGTTTTACCGAATCCTAAAAAAGCTATACAACGTATTTTACGTGGAGAAACTAAAGCTGAACGACGTCAAAGAAAAGAACAACAAGAATTAAATCGTCTACTTAAAGGTCCCATTGAAAAAACTGAACCAATAATTAAACTTGAGTCGTCACCACATTCTAAAGATTGGCAGGAATTTCAACAGCTTACAGCAAGAATACAAAGTACTGTTGAAGAGTCAGCAAGTAAAATAAAAGCTTTATCTTCAGTATACTATACTGATGATAAGCAACCTACTGAACTAACAACTGATGACATTAAGCCTGAATTAGACTTAAGTGAAAATTGGGCAAATTTTGATCAGATAAAAACTACTGAAGAAGAAAATTGGGCGAATTTCAACCAGCCGGTTGCAATATCGACTGATTTTACTGAATTCAGTTCTTTGAATACTGAAAACAATTGGGCTAATTTTCAAGCAGAAGATTTAGATCTTGACAAAAGTAACCTTGAAAACTGGGCAGATTTCAATCAGACTCCGACCACTATTGATTTGAAAGAATTAGACCAACCAGATAATTGGGCTGCTTTTGATCAATCACAAATTTCTAGGCCAGTTGTCGATTCTAAACCAACTGAAGTTATCAGTGAAAATTGGGCAGATTTTGATACATTACAAGCAGATAATCAATATCCTCTAGACACAGCAGTAGGTGATGAAAACTGGGCAAATTTCGACCTAACCGAGACAAACAATAGTTCATTGTTTGCTAATACAGGAGATATATTCGACGAAAACACTATTTGTACAGAGCCAAGAAACACTGATAATTTGTTTTATAACTTTGAGCACATAAATACTTTCACAGAAAATCAAATTGAACAGCATTGTCGAGAAAAAGTAAGTGAAGAAGAAGCTCATAGAGTAGATCAAATAACAAAAGAGAACAATCTTTCCGATTTATATTACGTAACATATACTGAAAATTTACGGGATTTTGATCAATTAGAAACTGATCAAAAGTTACTTGATTCAACTAACTCCAACAAGTCTCAACATCCACAGAACCTTTCTCATTTAGAAACCTCTGAGATTTCCTTCGAATTAGGGGTAACAGAACCGACACTTGAAGGTGAAACTAAAAATAATAAAACTCATAGAGATACTGACGAAGTTTTTATCAGAAAACAGTCTATCGACACAGGTGGCAGTCATTATACAGTAACTGAAGATAATTTATTGGACTCTAACCAAACAGAATATTCTGAACAAGAAACTGGATTTGATCATATAAGGCAAACTAAGACTGACGAACATTTTGACGAACCTGGTTATCCAGCAACTGAGTTTAGCAGTAATTTATATCAAACAGAATCTGGCGATAATTTTTTTATTGTAGATCGTTCAGGAACTACTGAAAATCTATTTGGTTGTGATTATCTTTTCCCTGTTGATAAGCTCTTTTGTCAAAAGGCTGTTGATATTACTCAAAAAGAAGCAACTGTTAGGAATAGGTTATCTAGTTCTGAAAATAAATTTAATTGCAATAACTCACAAGTTTTGATAGAACCAAATTCATCAGAAAGTGATAACCAAGAAATAATTCAAGAGATACTTCATACTACTGGTAAAGATTTCAGTAAATCAAACGTTCTACGGCTAAATTTTAAAAATATGGAAGCAGATAAGTTACACAGATTTAATGAACAAAGCGATACCGAAGCTGTTCAGTCCAACCTGATTATGGAGAGTTCTGATGAAAATAATCACAACGATTACGATATAGAACATGGAAATTATGATCAAAATGATGATTTTGATCCGAAAATTACAGCTGATTCAAGTTCAGATACATCTTCAGATGAAGATCACGAAAAACATGCTGTTAATGATGAAGACGAAGTAGAAGAAGCAGAAATGGAATCAAAAGTTTATAGTAATGTAATCGGTGAATATGAATTAGAATATCATCAGAATGATGAAAATACTGATTCTACTGATGAAGAGGGAATGATGTATACAACAAATACCAAAAATATTGAAGAGAATAAAGAAGTCAGTCCATTTTTTAATGATGCTTTTGAAGATATATTGACAACTACAACAACAGAAACTAAAAGTAAATCGAATCTGGTTGAAAGAAAAATAAGTATGGATGATTTAAAAACTATGATTAGACCACGTGTTAAACCAGTTAGACAAGAAACTTTATCAGGTAATAATCCGTTTCGTAAACGTTCAGAACTTGATGAACTTGATATGATGAACATTAATCCGCATACCATTGATACTGATGACAATGCAACCGATGAGTTAACACGTATAGCAACTGGAATTAAATTAATTAGTCCACAGAATAAAATAAATCTTCACAGTAAGATAAAAGATAGTTTTGATAGTAATAACAGTGAATCTTTCAATGAAGAAGTTGATGAATCAAAAGATGAACTAAAAAATTCTGAAACAATCGAGACAATTCAAAATATCAATGTGAATTCAGATGGATTTGATCCATTGCAAACTATTTATCCAGATAGTGAAAATGAAAATTCATCTCCTACGAATGAATTAAAAACACTACACATTACAATAAATGAAGACCAACAAAATACTTCTACTATGGAAGCGAAATCAGCTGTTCTATCAACAGATAGAAATAATCAATTGCCAGTCGTCATACAACCTCCGCCACAACAATCTAAACCAATAAACATCCTCGATTTAGAAACTGAACCCATTCATAATGAAGATGATAAAATAATATCGAAAGAAGATGATCATATTACTGATGAGACAAATGCTAATACTTCTCCTACTACACCTCCTGGATGGGTGAATTTCTCTGATGATGAGGTTGAGAATAATGGTAATGAAAGCAATTTTTCATCAAATGCTATCGCTTTTAAACTTGATAAAGATGATATTGATAAAGCATTTGAAATTCATTGGCCACCAGAGGATGAAAATGACAGAAGTAAACCAGAACCAGCTTTCCCGGAACCACCTAGACCTGAAACACCAGATCCTGAATTAGACATACCATTTCATCCATTTGTTGATACAGAAGATACTTGGCGTTTGTGGTTAAGGTATCCAGAGAAGAAAACACGTGTAAAACAAATTAGCAAGTATACAACAGATAGATACTGGCGTGAAGTAGCTGTCAGACTAATTGAAGAACATGGTCGTAAGGTAATAGCTCTTCATGAAATTAATGAGAATACAGATGAAATTTCACCAGAACCATATAGAACCGTTCGTATTGAACCGTATATGCAGTTATCTAGAGAAAAATTACAACAATATGATAAGTATGGTAAACTTCATGTTTTTAAATTAAATCATGTTTCTTACAAAGAATTAGTTGGAATGAGACCCGAGAAATTTTCAATTAAAAATTTACAAAATTTAGTTACCCATAAGCCAAAACAAAATATCACATTAGATCATATACCAATTTATACAGAGATATTAAAATTTGGTTCATTAGATCAGTCAAGAATTCGTAGATTGATGCCGGTGTTTGAAGATGCTCTAATGAAAATACCATCACATAAAGACACATCATTAAATTATAGTCGTGAAGAGGTTTGTTGTTATGTTGTTGATGAATATGAAGGAAAATTAAATATGCATGGGACAATTTTAGAACAAAAAGCACGAACTAGAATATTCTGCACTGCATTTGTTAATGGCGGTCCGCACATCGTACTTGGATTAAATGATAAATGGCGTTTTGGCCGAGAAATTGTCCGACGTTCTGATATATTGCCAGTTATGCATGATGAATGGATAAGTATACGAAAACCAGAATTTCACTCATGCGTACAAATGGATGAATATGAGAAAGATCATATGTTACAATTCTATCCATTAGACGGTTGCCGATTTGAACTATTAAGATTTCGTGTTAGCTTGCGTGGCAACAGAGAATTACCAATGCAAGTCAAAGTCACATATACAATCGATGGACGCCGGGTATCAATGAGATGTGACTTACTGGTACCAGGTTATTTTAGTGCAAGTAAACGATCTGGTGCTGTACCATGTGAAAACGTTGAGATCCATATACCTTTTCCAGAAGAATGGATATATCATTTTCGAGTTGAAAAGCATCATAAATATGGATCTGTACACTCTACATTACGTAAACCAGGTAAAATTAAAGGCCTAGAAAGGATTACACAAATGGCTCAAAGTTTACTACCACCAAGTATGTTGGAAGCAAGTATTGGCGTTGCAAAATATGAACATTTATACAAAGCTATTGTATGGCGTATACCAAGAGTACCAGAAAAATCGGAAGGTAAGTATTATGTATATATATATATATATATATATATATATATATTTAGTTGAATGTAATTACTGAAACAAAACACTCACCCGGACAACCACAGTTATCCGGGTGAACATTTAATACTTGACAGATGTCTGGTAACTTCGGACAAAACTAACTAAAAGTAAAGTATAGGTTTCTGTAGTTTGTTCCTCGGATAACTGATAGGTATCCAGTTAAAACTGTTTGCTGTGATTCGCACTTAATAAAGCCATGCGATGATTACTTGCATTGGATTACATACTGCAGTTTTGTTCTAATTCAATTATCTGAAAGATACAGTTTTATCTTATTGTAATTTTGATAGTGTCAATACAGTCTTAACAACTCATGATTTAAGATTAGTGAACTTTTGATGATCAATGAATTAAATAAATTTCGTATTTTGTCTTGATGACAAGTTAGAATATGTGTATTAATTCTATAACAACTAGTGAATGTCACTTCGCACATGAATACTCTTATAAATGTGACAAAATAATTTAATGTTGTGGCGAAAATAAACTGTACTACAAATTTTTATTGGTTTCTCATTTTAGCATCATTTCGTCCACATCTATTAACCTGCAATTTAGTATTAGCTGCACATGATACAGTACCTGAATGGGAAACTTTAGTTCCCCACTGTCAGATTGAATATAGTATGCCATCAAGTACAGTATCTGGTGCAACTGTACGTTCAATTAGTGTTGAGCATACAGGTAATGCGGAGAAATTTGTTAAATATCTCACCAAATATAAATATACAATGGATATTGATTATCAATTAGGTAGTCGTAAAGAGCCAGTTCTGAAATCCCTTCTAGATGAAGATACATCTAATTTCTATGAAAATTCAAATGAACAAACACAATCAAATAGAACACATGAACAAACTACTTTAAATGATAGCAATAGTGATAATGATAACAATAGTTACACATTGAATTCGAATGAACATAATCGTGTAAACAATATGACAACAGTTATTTCCAATGAAACAGAAACAGATCAGACAGGCCCTACAGAATTTGGTGATCTTTTAGGTTTGGGAGCCGAATTCGACATAATGCCTGATTCTCAAGTAGCACAATCGAAGTACAGTAATACAGATGATATTTTTTGAAAAGACAACTATAATTCCATACAGCAGATTCTTCTATATAATAAAACTGAAGATATTTCATTCATTTTTATCATAAACGATTATATTTCAGCTGAAAAAAAAAACTTTTTTTCTTCTCACTTAACTACAATGTAACATGGTAAATTCACTATGCATACTTACTGTCATATTACATGTGAAAAATACTACCTTGAATTTTGTACTCTTATTCTTTAAATAAATTTGTACACTACTTACAATTAAGTAATTTCATGAGATAACTGCTTATTAACTAATTGTACTATTAGATAAAAACAACCTGTCAATAAATATTATGTACTTAAACTACAAACAAAGTGGAGATTCAATTTTTGTCTTTGTTTTAATGAATCTTTTTAGTAAATACTTTTTTTTGTGTTAATGATTCATGTTCAATTTAATTTGAACATGACTTCTTGATAAACTTTCTACATAAAATAAAAAGCCATCAACATTATATTTAATTTATTATCAGTGTATTTGGGGTTATTCTACTAAGAAATAATCACAAAAACAAAATTACAAAAACCATTCTATTGATATTATTAATATGCTAATATAATAAATGCGTCCCAGGCAAAGCCCTTCTGTGATAGCCTGTACGATTCCCAATATGAACAACTGAGTGTCAACTGATTTTTTTTTCTTCTCTGTATTCTCTATTCTTTTCTATGTCTGCACAAAATAACCACCCAGTCAGAAATTCAGTTCTTGCACATTAGTAGAGCATATTTGTACAATCCACTTAACCAACACGTAAGAATACGTGCAAAAAAGAAAAAAACACACACATATTATTACGCATCAGTAATAAGTTGTCTTATTTATTTTTAAGTTATTCATATTATCTTTTAAAAAACAATGTCCATAACAAATGTCACTTGTATTTTGATATCACAGTATAAAACACTGTCTATTTATCTATGCATAGTTCTTGAAGTGTACCAGTTCTTTTTTTTGTGAATTTTTCACTTCTGGTTTATTTTTATCAGTTTAACCGAAATGAAAAAACAAATTATAATTCTCTGGTATTATTTAAATACAAAAGAAATTATTCACCTACACAAATATATCATCTACTCAATCGATTGATTTGTGTACTTTCTACCGGTTATCCATTGCATTTAAACGCAAATCAATATACATTATAAAACAATTATACCTATCTATCTATCTATCTATCTACCTATCTATCTATCTATTTATTTATTAGCACAGAATAATGAAAAATAACATAATTTATTTCTAATATTCTACGTGCCTGACTACCATATTATTATTAATAATGATGATTGTTTCAATGCTTCATGTGTATCATTTGATTGGATTTCATGAATAATTGAACCAATTGATGATTTTGTTTAAAGTTTCCACATTAAATTTTAGTTAATTGGCTATGTATAAACGCAAATAAGAACTTGCCGAAAAAAATAATTCAAATTGATGGCTTACATTCAATTTTTCAACTATTTTTTTTTACACAGGCTGAACTCGATTATAAAATTTCATTGTGATCCTCTTAGAAAGTTAGATCTAGTCAGAAATATTTATTTAAAGGTTTGGATAGATTTTTTAGGTTGATAAAACCTTTATAGGAATCACTTCGATTCTATTTGAATGATTAGTTGAAAATTGAGAATAGCAATTAAATTATTGTGATAGAAGAATGGCAAGTGTTTATAGTATGATTGTGAACAGTTCTCACTGTAACCTGATAGTTTGGTGAGCATGATTCGTTTAAGTGTAATTCCAACCAAACTCATAATTGCTGCTAGAATGATTGAGAAATCATCTACTTTTACCCCGTGTGGAAAATAATGAGAAGTTTTGGGGTTTTCATATAGAACTTTAAAACTGCGGACACTAGTAAACAAATCTTACTCACGTAAGTACGAACAATAATCTCATGTGAAATCCATTAATTTCGATAAGTTATTTTAGCTACTTACAGTAGGAAACAACCAAATAATTCCTTTCATTTATCCTGAAGAGGTTTCGAAACCATTCGACAATAGTACTAATGATGTCAAGTCTCTTCAAGCATTTAAATCGATAGCTAAGTGATGCGCTAAATTGCAGAAATGAAATGAAAAAAAATTGTTTATGAATCGGTACTGTTATCACAAAATGTTAGGAAAATGGTTGCAGTGTTCAATTTGCAAAATGATCTTAGTGTTTAATGTGTTACGAAGTATAGGAAGGCAAAATGCCTTCAGAGCTAATCACATGGAGGTTAGTTACAAATATACTGTAGTCTGTATAACAGATAGTGTATGTGGCTGTCATCAGCTAGAACTATGTTTTTATGAATGTATTAAAATTTGAAACAACTGCTGTAGATGCTAAGAAGTTGCGATTATAGTAATTCTAAGCCGAAAATTAAAAGTCTATGTAAAAACTTGGAAGTAATTCACGAGAAAGATGAAGCACCATATGTTATAGTGAAAATGAATGAAACCGAGTTACTTACTGAATTTTACTAAGTAGTATAATGACACACGAAGGTTTATCGAGTAAGAAGGAACGAAGATAATCTATGTAAGGAGAATTCACAACGAATGGCCAGAGGAGTTCAACCATGTCATACATGAGTCAGTTACCCACTGATGACAAGTGGTGATTTTTGCTCAACGACATGGACTGATCGAAGTTAGACATTAACATCGTTTGATACCAGCTCAATAGTCAAGAGGTTAAGAGTTTGTGCATAAGACTGAATGTCCCCATAGATACGTACTCCTGATGATTACCATACTAGGAAAAGGCTGACATCTAATACTTCCTAATTTTCGGCGATGGTTTGACGTTGGTCAGCTCATGATTTCAAAATGACTTCTCTCAAATTTAAACGTATGACTACATCCATATTAACAGAAGCCGTTGAAAATGTAAGATATTTATAGCTAAAAACGGATTTGGTTATTCGACAAAGAATTAGACTGTGACAGCAGGTAATGTTGTAGATAGACATAGCATGGGTACGGATTACTCCTTGGGTCCCAATTCAAAATTTCAAACTATCAGTAAACTAAAAAGTTGTAATTTAATGATAATAATAAACTGATGATTCCGTTTCAACCTTAATCAACATGTAAGAAGATGATTTACGGATGACGTAGCACTATTATTGTTATTATTATTATTATTATTATTATTATTATTAATAACACCAACTTGTGACCTGTTTTACTTCACCGTTTTGTGTTTTATGTTTACTGAAAACAAACTTCATACTCATCAACCAACTTTTTAGTGGTATGATTCATACAATTTTGGTTCGTTTAATGTGTGATCCCAAACATATTTTATTCCTCTAATTGGTGTATCAGTCACTTTGCTAACACCTTGATTTCTTAAAGATTTTACTAATGAAATGAAAACAGTCATTTAAGAATAAAATGAAGTAAACTGTTTGAGCGAAATGTTCTATTTCCGACTGTTGAACTCAACAAACTGTGAGGATATAATTATATACAGATTTTTCTTTACTGATTATCTACATCAGTTATGTTTATTTCAAAATAGCTTGTTCCACAAATTGAAACTGTCTGGAAAAGTGTCGGACACAAAGAAGCAACTGAAGTTTTAAGCTTCATTCGTACTTATAACTAACTCTTTCACTAAAGTACACTTAAAACCATCCGAATCGAATTTAATTTTAAATCTTTGAGTCATTCACTGACCCCTAATGTTGTACTGATTTCATTGACTTGTAATCCAATGCTTCAACTATTTCACCTCATTCTATTTATCTTGTTAAGACCATAATCCTCCATAGGTAGTGAAAAAACTGTTTTCAACTTCTTTTCTATATTTGAATAACACAATAATAACAATTGTAGTTAAATTATTGTATTTTACACATTCTCTTCAGTTGTTATACAATAATAAATATGAATAGGTCAACAAAGTCTATTATTTATATATTTCAAATAAAACTTAGGCATGAAAAACAAAAGAATATACGACTAATGATAAAATAACATAAAATGTTACATAACTAACAATTGGAAAAAAAAATTAGAAATCATCCAAGCATGAAAAGACTAATGTATGGAAATTGGTTTTTAAGTAATTAATACTCATGCTTTTATGCTGTAATCATCCAAAGCAAATCTGTAAATGAAAATTGAATTTCTATTAGTCAACTAAATCTGTCGTTTTTGATTCATTTAAATGTGTTTTAGTTCGTTTGTCATCTTAAGAGCATCATCAGCATAAACTTCATATAGAAGTGAAGCATACGAATTTCTCCACGTTTGACCTCTAGTTTGTTCTGCTAACCTCGATCTTGATTGGTTGCTGTTGACCTTAAACCTGTCGTTGTTTGCACCTTTGTTTTGATTGTATCCAGCTTTCGATCTGTTTCTTGATCATATGTCACCTATGATTTTTCTGATTAGAACAACACATATAAGCGAACAATATTGTTTTCGATTCGATCGTCATCATGTTTTACTCTAATATACATGAATATTTATATGAAAATGTTAAACCAATCAAAGCAGTTTGAGTGATAATCACAATGAAATGAAAAAGATTACGTCACTACATATAATAGGCAAAAGTACAAGTGGATAGTAGGAAGACAGGTGTACTGATATAGTAGTAATAAAACTGTAAAATATGATAACTAAAGTTTTATCATAAGTAGGTCAAAGGTGGGTTAATAGACTTCAAATAATCATTAAAACCATCAAGACTTCTCCAGCATCTCAAAATCTTGACAAAATTAAGCATATATATATATATATGAAATTAGTAAGAAAACAAGCGATTCAAGAATCATTAAAATTAAATAAACTTAATGTACCATATATAATGCATGGATTCATAATATATGTCCTATATTTTTAGTTCTTTTGATAAAAAATACGAAGAACAGAAAGAAAAGGAAAACCATGTCTGAATCTGATTTCTATTCATAAAGTTTTCTGTTTTAATTAGACCAATGTTCATACTATTTTTTATATAATTATATTAATGTTTAATATGTTCAATGAAAATGAATGACCTAGAAATATATATATACTTATTAATTAATTATGAAAATGTGACAAAAGTATAAATTGTTGAAAATGAAATTCACAAAGCAACATTTTTTTTTGAATTTTACTGCTTGAAGTTTTATTCTCCATTGTTGTCTTTGGTTTCATTGTTATGATTTATGTGATTTCTACTCATCATATCATGAAATATTAATTTTAAAATAGTTCCAGACGAAAACAGTTTAGTGAATGGTAAAATTTTGATCGTTAGGTAAACTAGACTATATGTCTGTCAAGAAGACTTAAATTTTTCTAGATCTTTCGATTAAGTGGCAGTTTTGATATGCAGAAAGATACTAGTTATCTTTTTCACAGCATATCCTCAAACTAACCTTCGTTTTCATTCGATTGGTTGTTCATAATCAAGTTAGTTAGTTATAAAGCAGACCGCTCGTAAGAGTACATGTGATAACATGTCGAGAAAGAAGATAGTTATTAAGTTCTCTCAGTGGTAGTATCAGCAAACTTCGCTAGTATTAACCAAGAACAGTTAACCTTTTTTAAATTCAATTGAAATACAAGTTTCTAAGTTGTTCTTCCAGTGTCTGCGGGGAGAAATTGCTCAAGATGTTCATTGCGAATATCACACCTCGCTTTAAAGTTTAATGTTTCCTCGCCCATATTGGCGAAGGGATTGTAAACTTTGGAACGTTACAGTATATTTTTCATTCTGTCTATTTAGTACTTATAGATCCCGATTCGTAATAGAATAATCTTCTAACCAATTGTAATTTGCTATAACATTGGGCTATTTAATAACATAACAATGTTTCAGCCATTTAAATTGAGTGTTATCCATATCAATATCGTAGATAAACAC